GGAGGAACATACTATAACAAGTTTAGGGAGGAACATACTATAACAAGAACAAGATAACAATAATGTAAAACCACTACTTCACGACATAGCAATACACTTGTTATGTCTCGTTTTGTAACCAGAGTGTCCTGGAGGGAGAGTGGGCATTGTGTGTATATCCCGACTGTTCGCTACAGTTTGGCCAGCAGGCCAAGGGGTGACAAATGTCACATAAGTTTTGACGCCAGCAGGTCGTCGTGCTAAATACTAGTCAATCAGCATGGTTATAACCTCATGACATTTTAACCTTAATTAAACTTATTGGTTTTAAGGTAGTTAGTGATTCAGTAGTTATTTTTACAATACTACTGAATACTTTCATTTTCCCATTACATTCATATAGTGATCTTCTCACATAAAAGGGTAAAGCAAACTATTTTCTAGTAAAGATAGTCTTAAACTTGGGAAAACTTACATCATTCAAACGACAAACAGAACTGTCGAGTCTTAGTACATTCAGTTAGAAGGGGGCCTATAATGCCAACTTTATGATTCCTCGGTAGATACATCAAGGATATATATTAATCGGTTCTGACAGACAGTAGGATGTGTGCTTTCCACTTCATTTCCTGTTCCTTGTTTGGTTGTGGGCTTAGAGTAGATTCACCCAGTCTACTACCTATTCGGTCTTAGCTACATATATATTCCGTATACACCAAGTAATCATAAAGAGTACCAGGTATAGGTCAGGTCATAGTATACAAATTCAATACACCATTTTCTACTACAAAAACATACTTTCAGATAGAACACTTAGTAGGCTAAACTAGAAACTTATCAGTAAAGGGTTTAATCCATTTAATTAAACCGGTATAACTTAAAGGACCTTTCGTGGTTAATTCTATAATACCTTAGTTTATACATTAGGGTTATATATAATTAATATTTGATAGGCAGTTGGATGTTTGCTTTCACCTTCCTTCCTGTTCCTTGTTTGGTTGTGGGCTTAGGGCAGATTCACACAATTAACTATCCGTTCGATATTAGATTATATATAGCTAGTATAAACTAAATGATTATAGAAGGAACTATTGTGGTTACCATTTTTACTAAAGGAAATAAGGGTTTTTCTTAAAGAATGTTTT